ATGATTTTTCAGAAGTAATTAATAGCATTGTAATTGTAGAGATCTCTAGGCCTATTAATTTAACCTCAACCTGGTTTGGATGCCATTGTCTGCCTGGTTAAGACCATTGTTCTGACATCCTCCCACTTCTTCAAAAGATCTTTAATAGCAAATATTGGCATAAATCTGCATTTTCAGAACAAAACGTAAAAGAATTGTTTCTGTCAGAAATATAAAAGGCTGGAATTACAAGGGAGAGTTTCAAAGTTCGGGGGAACACTATCTGATCAGTATTTACTACATAGAACATCGATGTCAATGTCTCCCACGCTCCGAAAAGTTTCGAATTGTTGCCCAAAGATAAGGGTAGACCAATCAGTATTCATTATTTTACCTCGCTTCTTCTTATGTTTGTTCAGTGAAGTGTTTGTTATCCGAACATGTGTTCGTTGTCCAATCATAAAAATCTTTCGTGAAAGTGTTCATTATCTGATTTGTTCGTTAACTGATCACCCACTGTATTATATTCAGCTAAACATTTTCACTACTCATTACACTTACATTCTGAAAAATATATATCAAAGATTTACACAGGTAATGATATCTTATACCTGATAAGAATAAATATTCAGTAAATAAATGTATCACATTCCCTACTTACTGAGTAGCATTTCAATAAATACATGAACACTTCTAAGATTGGAATGTAAAAATTATTGCTTATACATTTTGATAATATATAGAATGGCTGCAAAGTCCCTACGTGTGAGATTGTACTGTCTCCCAGCTACAGAATATCTTGTTGGCAAATTTAATGGCAGATAGAGTAAATAAGGATCCATTACTTGTGGCCTTCTCAAAATGTGGACATAACATATGGCAATTTACTTTGAATCTCTTCATTTTTGACTCTCTGCTCTGTGGATACGGAGGATTCGTGCCTGTTAAGTGTTTGGCCGGGCTCACCGTCAAGGCTACTGGGTTGCGAGGGACAAAGCCTACAATATCTGAGTCGACCCACCGACCCAGACTTGAACTGGATCTCTCAATGTGGCAGGCTAGTGCTTCTGATGCTTTAGCATCTATCATTTGCTTGAAGTCTTTGTGAATAGAAAACATACTCTACCATATAACAGCCAAAGACCTAAATTAACAGACCAAAGTTAATAGGGACTGCTCTAATGCCTTTTTGTTGTCAATATGAAAGACAATATTTTGAATATGGACAAAACTTATATTTGTACAGAGAACTGGGAGATAATATAACTAACTTCTAATATGCATAGAATTTTATGGCCAGTTGTGAGAAATAATACTGTAATAGTTTGTGTGTTAATTAGAAATAACTTTCTACTTAATGTGCACTTGACAAGATATCCATAAAATCTGATCAGTTTGAAAGAGGATCATGTTATATATAGGAAGAAATTCCTATATATAACATAAAGAACAACATTAATATTAATGCCTAAGCATACCAGGCCATGGCTAAGGGACTTGTCTTTTCAAGGATTCTCAACTCATTGCTGATTAATATTTTTTGTTCTGTATTTGGAACTGTATGATGCTAATATGGCCAAGATAAATATGCTCAAAAATTTAATAATAGAATAGTTGGGTAAATTCACATTTTATTACATTGCTGAGATGTCATGAAGGACCACTGAGAGTTTGTATAATATCCAGGGATCCAGTGAGTACAGTTTTCTATGTTGATCTTTGAACACAAAATATATTGTTTTTTTCTTAATAAAGAAATATTCTGTCTTAAAGATTTTATTTTTTGTTAGTAAAAATAACTAATTTTATAGCAATATGAATCAGTACAGGCCAAGGAAAAATCTCAGTTCCCCCTCTTAACAGCCCTGAATGGTAGATCAAGTGTTAAATATAAAAAAGAATCCCTGACAATACAATAAAACATTTGACCGATAGATTGAAGTTTCTCCTTATATTAAGCTTAATGATTTTGGATGGAATGTAGCTTGTCAGGAAGAGTAACAGAATCATTACTTTGGAACAGATCATTATGATTGAATCTCAATCAATAACACATTTTTATTTTGTCCCTAATTTTCTATATTTGTACTTATTTTTATGAAACAAATTCTTAGTAAAAAGCTTTCATATAATTTAGAAGGTTCTGGAAGAACAGTAGGAGTTGCAGGTTCAAGTCCCACTCAGGGCTGATTCTTTTCTACCATAATCTTCTAAATNATATATATATATATAATATATACATGCTCATATGTGTACTTTTGCTCTAAGAAATTCATTATTTCATCCTTTTCCATTTAAAGAAAATTATTATTTAAAATAAAAAGGTATTTATTTAAGAAAATACATTTTTTCAATCATCAATTTTTATTTATAAAGTCAAGTACAAGAGGAAGAGCGGAAAAAAAAAATGAAAAGTGGAAATTCATAATTTTTACTCACTTGAAAATTTACCTCGAGTGCACTCAACTTTCTCTGCATGTTAAGGCTAAGATCTTTATCAAATAAATATTCTAACACATTAATTTTAACATGTAATGCCTTTCATTAAAAATACATTTATTTAATGAGTGTTATTTATGCATTCACATGATAGCAACAATATATTTTTAAAAGGTTTCAATGATTATTAAATTAACATCTACGTAATACAGACTTTAATCTTTCAATAAAATGTATTATGTTTTGATTTTATATATGTATATATATATAAATAGCAAATTTCAAGAGAACATTTTTTAAATTGAATTAAGTGATCCCTTGGGGCAAATTACGTAGCATATTCTAGACTAAAATCTCAGTTTCTTAGGAAATTTCTTTGTTTAAATTACATTTCCATTCAATTTGTAGCTAATGACTAAAAACTAATTTAAATTATGATTCTCAACACATGAATAAATAATTAAATATGATGAAACTGAAAATCAAACTAACCTACCATACGGATTATACTGTAATGTGAGATTAAGGAAGGGTTAATCGTTTCAATTAAAAATAAGAAATTTTGTCTACATTTAATTATTGAACATTTGTATCCCCATGTAATGCTTTTAACTTTAATAACATAATATACAGGGTGTCATAAGTCTGAAACCATAGGAGTTACATTGATCTTTGTTTATTCTTTTACAGATCTCTATCTGTAAAAGACTATGGTGCTGAGTAAGGAGGAATAAAGTCAAGTTATTTTCATCATGGGGACTCATTTTGATGGGGAGTCTGTTAAACTCTTTACGCAGCCCTTAGTTAGGATGATTGTGCCAAAAGAGTTTAACAAATTGCATCTAGACTTCCAATTAATCTAGTATAGATGCAGCCTGTTAAATTCATCGGCAACTTCTCCTGTCTCCATATACCAACTATCAAAATAACTTAAAAATTGTTCCTCCTTACACTATGCTTTATTTTTAAAAGAATAAACATAGATCAACATAACTCCTATGGTTTCAGACTTATCAACACCCTGTACATTACATTTAATTATTAAATGCATTATTATAGCATAATAATAATAATATTCATAATTCAATAAATTCAGTAATTAATACTCATTACATAATTGGTAATGATTTTTAACATTTTGTGATACCCCTATGAGAAAGTCTTTATAAACCTCTCCCCACCCTGTAGGTACTAAGAGGGCCTCTTTTGCAAGCTCATTAAGGGTTGGCCAAATCCACATCCAGAATGGTGAAGCCAGAAGGTGAGGGATGGAACCAGACCACAGTGGCATAGCGAACATAACTGGCCCCCGGGGCACGACACTTTATTGGCACCCCTTCTCCCTCCAGAAACACATAGTTTGTCTTGGAGATGGTGCATGATACACCCCCTCGCACTCCCCTTGCTATGCTACTGCCAGACCACCCCTGAAAAATTCATGGGATTTTTTGACCCAGCCTGATTTGATCCTGAGTCCCTCAGAGGGGTAGACTGCTACTTTAATCATTCAGCCATCTGGCTATTCCTATGAGAAGGTTTATTGCATAAACTGGTTGAAAAATACTGATCTAACTGAAGAATGAAGAATGGATGGTATAATTTTCCCTGATATGTAAAGAAAATCATCAAAATAAATTCTGTTCTTTGTAAAGATAAATTAATCACAGTATTTAGTATCTTTATAATATACATAATGGTGTTCACTGTAGTAAAGTGGTGGTTCTGTTCTTTTCTACATTATTCTAAAATATTTAACCACTAAATCATTGAGCTCTTTACAGATGGCAGAATACATTTATCACAACAAATTAACTAGTACTAACATTTTACAGCTTAGCTTTCTTAAAAAAATAATATATTTAGAACAATAAATTCGGCAATTAATCCTCATTACATAATTGGTAATGATGATTTTTCATTACATATTCTTATAATTAGTATTTTAATATTCAAGGTGTATTTTAGATTTAAATAATCAGAGCCAGATTTACATATAAGCTAAACCAGATATAGCTTAGGTCTTCACATTAAGAGGGGTCATGTTCTATTCTCAAAGACAGTTTATGCATATTGCCCATTATTATTTGGTTGAGGAGGAAAGCCCACTTGTATGTTATAGTATGTGGCCATAACACATCTATATCTGGCTCTGATGATGAAATGATTTCAAAATGTTGAAATCATTTTATATTATTTGTAAATATCACATTCTTCTTAGAGAGTTTAAACAAATAATTTCAAGTCAATGTTGATCCCTTCATTTATTTCTTATTATTTTTGTTAACTGGTAATAGAAAATATCTAGTTTAAAGTGACCAGACGTCTCGAATTAGGCCAGACAGTCCTGATTTTTAAACCCTTTAAAAAATGTTCTGCTTTTGGACTATTTCATAATTATATTCAAAACTAATCGGCATCCATTACAAAGATTGTAAGTCAAAGATGAATTACACACAAGTTATAGTGTTTATAGTATATCCTGGAAGTAGTCAGGTATGGTGTTTCAAATTTTATGAGCTTTTGGACATCTCTAGTAAAGTGGAAAATGGTTTAANAATAGAAAATATCTAGTTTAAAGTGACCAGACGTCTCGAATTAGGCCAGACAGTCCTGATTTTTAAACCCTTTAAAAAATGTTCTGCTTTTGGACTATTTCATAATTATATTCAAAACTAATCGGCATCCATTACAAAGATTGTAAGTCAAAGATGAATTGCATACAAGTTATAGTGTAAAAATTTTAATATCTAGTTTATAGGAACAGTAGCCCAATTGGAAATTTATTGCCCAGCTAGTAACCTATCAGTCAGAGAGCAGTGAATGTATATCATTTATAAAAGAGAGTTGATGAGTTTTTTCTAATTATCTGAGTTATAAAAATAAAGATTAAAGCAAACAAAGCTAGACTTAGAGCTGTAATTAACTGTTAACTGTTACTACTGCTGTAGGTCATTAATTTGTAAAAGAGAGAATACAGATAAGTAAAATGTTTATCGGTTGTTTGCAACATCTGTCATAGATGATGTCAGAAAGCTAGGAAACTGATAAGTCATGTGACCAATTCTGGTTGACAATTATCTCATGTCACATTGAAGCACCAGTTTAACATCCCTGTTTTACATTTGAGAATCTGGTCACGTTAATCTAGCTAATACAGTTACAAATTAATAAGAAATATCACAACAAACATATTTTAAATGATTTACATAAATTGTGCCCTTAAACATTAATGCGTACACTTTAAATATCATGTACACTAGATCATCAGAATTAAGAAACAACAACACAATTATAATGAAAAATTAGTGAGGTAATAAGGAACAATAAGATACACAAGATTAGTGAAAAAAATTAATGTAAATTTCTGTGAATTTAACGAGTAAAAAAATCATTTTAATTGAGATAAAAATGTAATTAACTAATTATAAAAAAATCTTCATTTAATTGATTTAAAGTATTCATTATATTTTATTCATTTACCACCATCCTAACAGGTTGAAACCAAATTTTGCACTGCTAAACAAGAGAAAAAGCAATCCAAAGTATTGAAAAGATCCCCAAAATCTGCTACTAGGATCTGGAATAAAATTTTTAAGAATACAGTATATTTAATTTATAATTTAATTAATTTTAAAAATTTAGCTAAACTTTTCAGATTCTTACTTCCTGTAGAATAGCCAATTGCGTAAACAATTCGACCCAGTAAATATACAAATCCAGCAATAGCGCCCAGGACCTAAAATATTAAAAATATATTCAAAATGATAATTTTTTTACGTATGTCAAGAGAATAATGTTAATTCACATCACAATACTGTACCGGATATGGGAATCCTCCAAGTAGAAGTAAAACAATAAAGAATGGATAATATTCTAAGCTGCATTAAAGAAAAACAATTTGTTAGATAAGTCAATTTGTCATTATATTAATTTAATATTTTTAAAAATAGGTTTAAATTTTCTCTGGCATGCTTGTATGAATTATTTACAAATAACTAAAGTAAATTTATGAGACTTAACTGTGTAGGACTTATTATTTTTATTTTTTCTATTGACATTTTTGACTGCACATTTTTCCACTCCTTTTGTTTTTCTGCTTGGTTAGTCTCATCACTGCCTTACCCATCAAACTGTCCCAAAAAAAATGATCAAACCAACTCTTTAAAATAATAAATTTACTAAACTAAACTGTACACTAGCCTATGCTTTGTCCATTCTTAGCAAATATCAGGTGTTCACTACATCCTAAGACTATATAAAGTTGATTAAACTTGCATAATACTTATGAAATATATAAAATTTTTACTTCATATGAATATTGAATATGTATGGATTTATTCTGATGGAATTCTGAAGTTTGGAACATAAAACAGAAGTTGTGCAGTTGTATTTTATAATCATCTCTATAGTTCAAACACAACATGCATTAGAAATGGAATTACAAAGTAAAGATTCTCCAAACAAAGCTATAATCCTGCATCTCTTCGTAGACTGTATATCGTAATAATTACACTACTCATACACCTTATATCCATCCATTAAACTAGAGCCTTGTTTTTGCCACTTAAGAGATTTCTTGTTAAACAAAATCAAAAATACAGAAAAGAAGAGAAAACAGATACTAGAGCTGACGCATCTAACCACATATTCGTCGATATTTAACTTCAAAGGAGTCACATATGCGCAGCAGAAAGGTGTAGCAATGGGAAGCCCAATAGCAGGTACGCTATGTGAAATGGTTTTAAGAACATTAGAGAACAACATCATACCAAAATATGGAATGCAAATCGTATTATATGCTCAGTATGTCGACGACGTGCTTATCATATGGAAAGCAAAACCAATACTACAGCAATTTATAAAAGACATCAATGACAACAATTTTGGTCTAGAGATTGAGCTGGAACAAGAAAATGATAAAATTATACATTTTCTGGATTTATCATTACAAATAGATAAAGGGGATATAACTACAAAGGTGTACAGAAAGCCTACATATAACCCATTATTTATTCCCTGGAATTCTCACGACCCAGCAACCTATAAACTTGCAGCTTTCAGGACGCTCATAGCAAGAGCGCACTCGCACTGTAGCAAAAGGCAAGATAGAAATGAAGAGATGCAATATATAAAAAAGCTAGCAAGGCAGTTTGGGGTTAACATTAAGGCTATAACCAACAAAACAAAAACAGGCAGCAACGAGCTCAATCTAAGAAATAAAAGGGAAGAGTATACGATGATGGAGTACAGGGCGCAGTTAAATAATATATACAAAAGAATAGGAGCAGCAACAAAAAAGAAAATAATTTACAAAAGAAATCCAACAGTTTACCAAATGTTAAGAACAGACAAAGACGAGGTAGACGGAAACCTTCTGCCCGGAGTATACAGTGTTCCAATAACAGATAAAAGGCGACAGAAAGAGCTGTTTTACATTGGAGCTACAGGGAGATCGCTCAAAGAAAGAATGATAGAGCACAAACGAAACATACGAAATGAGCAGCCAGTCACAGCGCTAGCGACATACATCCTAGCAGACCCTACAGAAGTTAAAGCAGAGTGGGATAAGGCAAAGTTAGTACAAAAAATTCACGACAAAAGGCATCTCAAATACGCAGAGGCGTGGCATATTTGTAAAAATAGTCAAGAAGGACAAGCAATTAACTTTAGAGAAGCAAGTAAAATATCGGAAGCATGGAGATCGAGCTTAATATAACGGAGCGAAATAATAGAAATAGCAAGACGAATTTTGGAAAAGCATGCATAGGAAAGGTGCAATCGGGCTACACGTGCATTATTATTAGTGATTTTATGGTTATATTTAGCATTGTTGTCTTTATTTATGTTAGGTTCATATATGTATGGTTGATGTATCATATTAGTGGTTATTGTTAGTATTCTTTATTTTTAACGGTAAACAAACGGCACGATTCTGCGCAATAAGAGTTTGTTTAAATAGCGTTCCAAAACGCATTTATCGTTTTTATGAATTCGCCAAGATTCGATTTTCGTTGGTTCGTTCTTGAAAAAGGGCATTAAGGATGTCCGAAAACGTTTGAAGTGTTATAATAAATTTGGCTGTATTATATAAGGTGTATGAGTAGTGTAACTATAATCCTGCAATATGTCAATAAGTTCCATATAGAGAAAATGCTAAAATCTAAACTGCACATTACTTAAAATCTCAACATCTAATAATATGGTTAAAAACAATATTCACCAATCTTAAATCTCAGCATGATTTATTAAATGTACAGAGTAACATTTTCATACATTTTTAATGGCCATCTTCAGATCTTTACATTTGAACATTTGAAGAATCAAACACTTAAATTGAAATTGTTTTCTAATTTTTAATTTGAATATGACCCAAAGTTGAATCTAAATTCATTCAGAAATATTAAATAATTAAAATGAATATCCAATTATTTATTATCAATAGATAAAAATATATCAATTGCAACATCTTAAGCTTTTTTCTTCACTCCACATAGTAAATTACATGTAGTAACTATATGACTGTATATTAGTTTCTGAATACTTATATAAAAAAATACTAACTCAAATGTTAGGATAAAGTTTTAATATCATAGCTGCCCAGTGCAGAACAAGAGCATCATGGGCCCAGTTCAAAATATTATTTATAGAACACAATAAAGCCTATATAATTCTGTAAAGTTAATTTACATGTACAGGATTCATGGTAAAGTGATTACACACTCTATCTTGATGGTGAAGGATCGATAAGAAGGCCTTTCTCAAGTAATAAAAGCTTTTGGCATTACTTTAGTGTAATTAAAAACAAAAATAGGCACACAAGTACTTCCAACATTGCATGAATGTCATTCTCGAGAAAAACAAAACATATTATCATTTTTAGGTCTTTTCTCTACATTCACGGTGGGTTTTGGCTCACAATCAGGCAACGGATTGGTGAGGGATGGAGTCTAACATATTTGGGACCACCCACAGAAAATTCCTAAGGAATTGTTCATCCAAATTCGATCCCAGGTCACCCAGAGTGGTAAAGTGATGCCTTAACTATCAAGGTCATCCAGTCTTAACAGAAAAATTTTTTAGTAGACATTGAAGATTTCTTTTTTAAGCAGAATGTAAATGTGTAATTTATTTTATACATGTGTTTGGTTAGCACAATGTTGCTGTTGAGAACGTATCATACAGGTATCCTGTATGATACGTTCTCAACAGCAACATTGTGCTAACCAAACACATATAATAGAGAACAACAAGCAACCTTGATTATTTTATACAGTTTTAGAGATTGTTCTAACATGATAATATACCAAGTATTATCCATTCACAGATTTATTGATGATATTTTAAACCTATGAATGCACAATATAAACTTTTCAATAAATCAAAAATGCTTTATATACCAAACATTTAAAACATCTAAATTACCATATTAAGACATGTTTATTGTCTTACTGTTTTACTAATTCAGTGTTGTCTGATCAATTCAGTTTTTGTTGTAATACTTGTCATGTGATAACCAAGTGACTTTTTGTCTTGTTTGGCTTCCATATGTAGTATTATAAACAAATATCAATTGTATATTTTAAAAAAAGTTTAATAAATAAAAACCTATACTTATAGTTTTTCTAAATTCTTTCAAATCCTGCTATGATTGATAGCAAATAATAATACTGAATTAATCAATGCATCTTTAACAATATATGAAGCTGAAGAAACAACCATACTGTTACCAATATGTGTTTTACAGCAGAAACAAGGAGTCTATCTCTGCCTAGCAATATCTCCTTTTGCATCAACCACTGCTATCATAGTCCACTTCCTCTTACTCATTTACTGTATCCAATCTTTTTTATTAACTGACAGTGGTATTCCATTTTCATTTGTCTGTGACTGAAAATCACTTGTTAATCAAGTTGAAAATTTTAGCATTCCTTCAATCCACTGTTACCACCCATCCAGTTTTCACCCAGACAGTCCGGGAATCGATTCACTGTCTGGGTGAACTATTAATTTTGTCTGTGTCCGGGAATATCGTGTGCAAACTATTGACCTTTTTTTTTTTTTTTTTTTTTTTTTTTTTTTTTTTTTTTTTTTTTTTTTTTTTTTTTTTTTTTTTTTTTTTTTTTTTTTTTTTTTTTTTTTTTTTTTTTTTTTTTTTTTTTTTTTTTTTTTTTTTTTTTTTTTTTTTTTTTTTTTTTTTTTTTTTTTTTTTTTTTTTTTTTTTTTTTTTTTTTTTTTTTTTTTTTTTTTTTTTTTTTTTTTTTTTTTTTTTTTTTTTTTTTTTTTTTTTTTTTTTTTTTTTTTTTTTTTTTTTTTTTTTTTTTTTTTTTTTTTTTTTTTTTTTTTTTTTTTTTTTTTTTTTTTTTTTTTTTTTTTTTTTTTTTTTTTTTTTTTTTTTTTTTTTTTTTTTTTTTTTTTTTTTTTTTTTTTTTTTTTTTTTTTTTTTTTTTTTTTTTTTTTTTTTTTTTTTTTTTTTTTTTTTTTTTTTTTTTTTTTTTTTTTTTTTTTTTTTTTTTTTTTTTTTTTTTTTTTTTTTTTTTTTTTTTTTTTTTTTTTTTTTTTTTTTTTTTTTTTTTTTTTTTTTTTTTTTTTTTTTTTTTTTTTTTTTTTTTTTTTTTTTTTTTTTTTTTTTTTTTTTTTTTTTTTTTTTTTTTTTTTTTTTTTTTTTTTTTTTTTTTTTTTTTTTTTTTTTTTTTTTTTTTTTTTTTTTTTTTTTTTTTTTTTTTTTTTTTTTTTTTTTTTTTTTTTTTTTTTTTTTTTTTTTTTTTTTTTTTTTTTTTTTTTTTTTTTTTTTTTTTTTTTTTTTTTTTTTTTTTTTTTTTTTTTTTTTTTTTTTTTTTTTTTTTTTTTTTTTTTTTTTTTTTTTTTTTTTTTTTTTTTT